AAGACAACGGGATCATCTAGATACGACGCTCCGCCAAAGATCTGCACGTAAATTTGTCCGGAAGCCTTTCTTGGGGTGTGCCGGCCACTGCGGCCCATTCCTAAAGTTGTCGGTTATTGTGCCGATATGTTGTTGGACATGATAATACGGAAGTCCTGACACTGCCGCCCCCCCCCCCCCCCCCCCCCCCCCCCCCATGGCAGGCAAACGCTACTGACAACCCGCAAAGCCCAAGGTTCGTCGGGGCTGTCGATCATCCCGCTTCGTCGTCAACCGCACCGGTATCCGAGTTGTCATCTCGCGCGCAGGGGCGAGGGTACGGGCAGCAAGGAGCTTCTTCTTCCGCCTTCAGCAGACCGCGGCACCCGAAAGGCAACAAGTCGTCGAGTTCAGGGTGGACTAGCTCAACCAGCGGCAGGTATTGTTGTGGTTGAAGTGTCCGGCAGACTGCGAGGCAAGCGCTGCTGCTGTGTGCTTGCGTCCCACCAGTACCCACCGCTTTCGTTATCGACCCACATTCCCTTTCCCGTTTCCACTTAGCTTCAGCCTTGGCACACACCACCAACGTCCGTTGCTTCTCTCCTTACGGCACCAAATGCGGCGGGCTTGAAACTCCAAAGACGCTCACCGCCCTGCTTGCGACGACTCGACTCCACCTGTCCCTCGAATATTTACCCACGGAGCCCCCCCCCTCCCCCCCCCGTCTTCGTCAGCACCGTCGTCGATAACAGCAGCGGTGTGACAGCGTCGGCCCCAGGGTCTCCCGCGGAAATCGCGGCGCGACACGCGGCAGGCGCGGCGGCGGCAGCAGCAGCAGCAGCAGCAGCAGGCGGACTCGTCTCCTCCACGAGTGGGGGCACAACAAGCGACGGCAGCAACGACGGTGTTAGCCAGCACCAGCGGCAGCGGCAGAGGTGGGGCCGGCTCGGGAAGGTCAAGTTCCCCACGTGGAAATCGACCTCGTCGGAGACGCCGGTGAGTCTAGCGTTATTGTAGAGAGTTACAGTTGGCGCCTACGCAGAGGCGGTGACGAAAATGGAGGCGTCTAGTCGAGAGCTTTCGGGTAACGTATCGTTCGATTGTACATCCTCTTTATCGTGGAGTGATCGAGCTTTGAAAATCGGTCCAAGGGGGCGCCGTGTCTTCAGTCGCCTACGGTATGGTACGTCGCACTGCAGTGACAAGATGGCACCCCAGCACGGATCGGCTATCTGTAGTTTTAGATGCTCCAGTACGTGCCGACTTTATTCGGTTCGCTCGTTGAGGAATATCATATTATTCGTAGAAACACGGCAGGGTCTCTGGTGTTTGCTGCTTTCGAAACGAATGACGCTTCCTCCTCCCACGCGAACATACTTGGCGTTCCGCCCCCCCCCCCTCCAATCTCATCTTGCGGAGCTCCCGACTCCCCCTTGCCTCACGCCATATTTTTCTCGCACGCGTGTACGAATCAAGCGTTGACGAAAAATTCACAAAATAATGTTCTTCTTCGAAACATGTCGGCATCAATACTGCTGTACTGCTGTACTTCAAAGCAAATAAAGTATGGTACAGAATATTTTTCGCAACATAGAATCACCCCCCTCCCCCCTGCGCTACGATCTGTTTGTGACCCCGCCGCGTGGATGCGTGACAACAACTCCCGCAGTCTGAAACCGACCGCAAGCGCAAAGCCCAAGGCGGTGCACCCCGTATCGGATCTGCAAGCGTCGGGGCACCTAGTGTTTCTGGTGGAAGTGGCAGCATGAGCTCCTCACGGCAGCATGGGTTCGGGCGTATGGTCGCCGACAGATACGAGATTCTGGACACCCTCGGCCATGGTTACAGCGGAAAGTGAGTATTTCAGGATGTGGGGGGGGATGTACTTGTAGCCGTCGCATCCCTGCAAAGCCGGGACGGAGCACGCCGGTTTTCACCGGACCAGGCTAGCACATGGGGGGGGGGGAAG